TTAGAGAATGAGTATGCATGAGTATGCATGAGTATCATATTTCTACACCTGTGCCCAAACTCATTGTCCATGGATCATCTGCCGCGCCGATTCGGGGCCGCGATCGCCATGGGATGTGTTCGAAAGACCTTCGTCTCAGGGGACGAAGGGTCATGGGCGTGAAGCGAGAAGTGCCTGAAACGAAACAAACTCCAAGAATCCCTCTCTCTCTCTCTCTCTGTCTCTCTCCCTCTCTCTCTCTGTCTCTGTCTCTCCATTTCTCTGCCGTAGAGTACGAAGCCCCGCGGAGTTGGCACAGCGTTTGGCCCCCAGACGAAGGAACTGTTCCAGCCAAAGCACCTGGGGGCGTTGGGCGGAGTGAAGTTCGGCGGGCCTCCAGTCTCCACCCCGGGTCCAAGCAGTCAACCTGTCCGACTTGCGTTCATCTTTTCTGGGGTGTATTCAGTGTAGTCATGATGTTTCATTCATACTTGGCAATCGCTCTAGAGTATTAGGATGCCCTTGTTGCATATATTATATATAGCCTGGATGCCGGGAGGTGTCTTCGGGAGGTTCAAACAGCAACCCCTCCATCCTTTCAGTGCACGCTGAATCCTCATCCACGATGGTGGTACAGCTTGGTTGCGCTACACCCAAAACTGAACAAAAGCACCGACCTGCCCATGGTTGCCCCTGGAGCATGGAGCTGCGAGAAGTCGCAGCTTCAAACTCTAAGGTGTATCGTTGGGACAGGAGCTTTGGAGGAGCTTGGGCATGTCCGTTTAGATGTTGGATGACGTACTGTATAATCCCAGCGTGCCCGTTCCGTTTGGTAGCGAGGAAGACTCAATTAAGTCTTAGCAGGACTCAAAGTCATATATATAAACGAACAACCCAAGCTCCCACCTGCGAACGACTGAACGCCCCAAAATAATGAAACGTTCACATGAGCTACCCAATAGCTGGTGTTCGAATCCTTTAGAGAAGTTCAATTGCCCACTTGGGGGTTCCATATCCACTGCTCAGTTCTCCCTCCTTCAGGCCGGCTCGAAAGCGCCAACGAAGGTGAACGATGCCAGGGTCGGGTCGAAGCAGCTCGAGACTTCGATTCCAAACAGCTTACCTGGAGAACTTGCCGCCTAGGCCCCGCTCTAGGCCCCGCCCTAGGCCCCCGGCTCTTCTCTAGGCGAAAGTACATCTCGGCCATTGACCTCGAGAGAGATTCACATGACCCGGCAAAGACGGTTTAGCTGTTTGAGGCTCACCATGGTGTTTTCCTGTCAAAACACAGATCAATGGGGACCTCCAACAAGCACTAAGAACAAACCCCGAAAAGTGACATCAAAGAACCCTTTTCTGCACACAAACTGGGGCACCCGCAGTTTAGGCGCGGACGACTCCTTCTTCGATCGTCTGTAGAGGTAGCGGACGCCAAGGGCGACACCAACCTGACAGACCGAAAGCCTTCTTCGGTGCACTGTGCCAGTATTTTTGGGGATGCTCACCCAAATGGGTGCATGGTTAGAAGCAACATGATTCGACAAGCACAGCAGTGGTGACCAAATCATGTGAGAAGTGTCCAAGTTGTTCTCTCTGCTCACTTCTACTACTCAATGATGTCTTCTTTGTCCTCCTTCCTTCTTTGGCCCAGACGACCAGTGCCACTACAGCCCATGTGGAGGGCTGCTGCCAGAAGGGAGGTGGAGGAGGTGGAGCCTCAGGTCCAGGCGACCCGCTCCTGTCAGTGGTTTGCAACCATTCCCAAACAACCCCCTGGGAGTCAAAGACTATAAAAAGAATGGTCTTTAGGGGACCTGAAAGGGAACTTCCTTTACTTCAGCCGGTCAAAGTATAGTCTTTGGACTTCTAGGGAACCCATATAAAGAATATACAACCCACGGATCACTAAGGAGTTAACGGAGACACATACCAAAATTAGAGTGCCCTTAATCACCAGGGGCTGGTAGAATGGAATCATTAGCATCCCATATACCCCATCAAGAAAACCCATCCATGGAAGTAATGATCTTAATTCATGGACTGTCTGAAAATTGCTGGTCAGGACGGTGGGACCGCGCGACCAGACAATTATGTGAACGGTATAGGGACTGGAGGTCTCGACCAGCATCTATGATGTTCACATCACAATCGTACACCACCTATACATATATACCTATACCTAAACATCTAGGGGGGAAGGTCGAAGGTTTGTTACTTTGCGAGGTGAACATTGTACAGTAATTACATGTAATTACAGCTTAAGGACAGTTGGCTGACCAGCTTGAAGGACATTTATGGACGGACAATGCTGCGAATGATTGCTCCCTTTCAGAACTCAAGCAAGTGGTCCGCCGCCCTCGCACAACGTGTCAAACTCCCAAAATGGTGAAGGCATTGTACTTTCTCCCTGCTTGGATGCTTCCGCTTCTCCCAAGCCGGGCCAACAACTAGTCCAAGAAGGTGTGATCAGTTCAGGTCCCAGACTTTCATCGTCATTCAACAGCTCGGTCATACTGTAACGGTCATTCTCAATCGAGTAACGGTCATACTTCAGTTACACTCACTCACTTCAGACCATCCGAATGTTCGGAAGGTGACCCTGGGAAAGTCCTGGACCACGGATTAGGACACCAGGTCCTGGACCTTATTATGGCACCCATCTTCTTCCTGTCCACACTCGACACCCGCAGATCTCCGGCACCCGCACTCGACGAAAGAGCCCGGCACGCGCCACGCGGGTCCTTGGGCGCAAACACCATCTGCTTATCAAAGGGATGTAGACTCTTGATTACTAAACCCCCTGATTTGAACTGGAAATCCTCTTTAATCAAGAGTCTACATGGTCTACATTGGGTTTGGACGCAAACAACATCTGCTCATCACGTCAGTCATCTTCCATTCTGCAGTTCTTCTTCCACTCCGATCATGGGGTACCCCCATGATCGATCTGAACATAGATGGAAGACAAATGGAGAAAACAAAACACTCAAACCTGCGGAAGTCTTTGGGGGGTCGAAATGTATTTCCCCAGTTGGGAACCATCGAGGCCTCTGAGAGACCGACTGCGATCTGTAGGCCTGGCGCGAGTTGCTAGCTTATAGCTGAGGACTATTGATGCTGAACTATGTCATATGCAGTATTGAGGACGTTCCTTTGGTTCACATCCATGTCTGCTTTGGAACTTCTCGACATGTTCTATTTCCTTGTACCCGACAGCTGATCCTGATGGTCCAATGCACGATAGTAGATGTAGCGCCGACCGAACGGCGCCCTGTAGCTGAACCACCTTTCTAAGTGGCCAACACCATCGCATGTTGATCAGCACCTCCTTAAAATAAACACAAGTCTTTGCAACCAAACACACGCAGCCTCACTGATCTGTCAGTTTCGATGATTCTTGAACATCCTTTTGCTGGCCTCCCGAAACACATCTCAGAGAATGGCCACATACCCACTGTAACCCAGCAAATCTCCAATGGAAGCTTTCACAAACACCAGGTTTTTTTCTATCCTGCAGCCAGGTTTTTCACGTCGATCCAACATCTTTGGAATCGAGAGAGCTCTTTGGGCGCAAACTCCTCAGGTCCTTCGTTTGGAGCCCCGTGTCCTTCCTCCTTGGCAAAACACTGCATGCCAAACGTGTTGCCTCAATACATGGGGGCGAGCGAAACCAACTCTCTTCCTTTCAGTTTTCTTGAAAGCGAGTCCATTCCGCCCCAAGGTGTGGGCACGTTTTTGGGCAGCTTTGTACACGAACCTTTGATTAAAAACGTTTACTCCTCCAACTATCTCCTCCAACTTGGGCCTCAACCGTTGACCAAACAACTCCGCGGTCGACGAACATCTGCCTGGAGATCCCTCTGAGCCATTGCCCGGCATGGTAGGGCTGGAGCCTGCTTGCGTGCATCGGATATATATATATATACACATATTGTCACATATATTATATATACACAAAATGGCATTCCAAGAGCAAGAGTAGATTGAACAGTGACCCACCTCAATAGTTTTCAGCTTGAGATTGTTCTTTACTGTCTGTTTGGCACGTCTATGAATGAACAGGGGAAAGCAAAAAGCAGAACCCCCCCAAGTTTTGCCAACCTTAACAAACAAAAAGATAGTTCTTCCAAAGAGTCCAAAACCATGATGCTTTATGTTCTTCGAGTGAAGCATTGCCATTCACCCCCAAGCATCCCCAAACACTTCACCTGAACGGCCACTGGCAACGAGGGCATCGTTGCAGTCTTCGGATCTTCAGTTGACAAAACGCTGGTGAACCAACCAGCTGACTGCATCTGAAGCTAGCTTGAGAGAAAGCTGAGAAATTCCTGCGAGAGCTTCTGACCTACAAACTCTGCAGATCTTCTTTGATCCAACAAACCCTCTGTGAAGTTGAAACCCGGCTGAAAGGCTAGTATATAACTTCACCTGGATTTGGCTGTTGACAAAATTGCTTCATTCGAGCCACACAAGGTCGTCAGAGCGCACAATTGAGGTGTCCCAAACAGCATCACTGCTTTCCAAGAGTCAAACCCCAAGTAGGCACTGCTCACCTAACACTTTGTTACCTCACCTTTCCAACAAACAGAACACAGTTCCGTTGGACAGCTTCAACTCATCAATGATCCTACAAATCCTATAGAGTCTATAGAGATCAGCAGTGTAAATACTCATACGATCTCACACGGAGTCATTCCTCCCTTTCGCCACAAAAGGAACGCTGCCAATCATGATAAGTTCATTAATCTTCCTTACTTTGTGACCCTTGCCCAAATCGAATCAATCTAGAATCCTCATGCTGCCCTCTTTCTCCCTCGTGCCCAAAGAACAATCAAATGTCCCGCTGGCAGGTGTCAATCTTACCCCCCAAAAAGAGTAACTGAGTCGTTCGTCAGTTTTGGCATCAAACACGTGGTGTTTTGTCATGGATTCGATTGGCAAAACCTTCGCAAATTACCTGTGATAATCTATATCCCGCCTTCTTAAAACACATGCCAGCAGCCAATGGTCGCCACTGTCCTTTTCGTTGCGAAAGATCACTGCTCGGATGTCTCGTCCCGTCTGCCCTCCTTCCTGGCAAAGGAAAACGCTTTTTATCGCGGTTTGCAACACCGCTCCAACAGGTGCAAAACTGATCCGTTGATACATGGCTTACGCATGGCTATGGCCAGAGCTTGGTTTCTTCTGCGTTTTCACTGTTCCGTGTTTGCAAGAAGTTGTCTGTTCAGCAACATCTGCAAAGTTACATTGCCGAGCACCGGTGAATTTAGAGTCTTTACACAATACCAGGACCCTCTAAGGGGTGTCCAATGGACTACCCCACACTACCTATCGGCTTCCATTGGGCACCCCTTAGAGGGTCCTGGTATTGTGTATCAGTCTCAGGGAATTACCGTAGACCAAGTCGACCCAGCGTGACCACACATCCCTTGCAGAGTGGCAGGTATGGGATTAGGGTGGTTTGAGTTCGAGCACAGTTCAAGTGGGCCAATGTTCTTCCCACATGATGTGCCACTCATCCCATCACTTCTAAAACACATGTTTCACAACTTCGCACATAAGCCATGGGGGATTGCCTCTTCAGGCCATGAGAAAATAGCTTTGGCACCTCAAGAACTTCATCCCAATGGATTCCGATGCCGTCCATCCGGGCAAGGGCAGAAACACCGCAAACGCAAACGCGAACGCTGCGCTGACCGGTGCATCCGACTGTGTCTGGTGGCGCCTCGTGTCTCTTATGGCACCCAGTCTTTGTCGGCAGCCGCTTGGCCCCAGTCCATGGCTTCTTCCGCAGCCGCTTGGCCGCCCTTCTTCCCGCCAGTGCCGGTGGCGCCCTGAGCATCCCAAAGGCAGAGAAAAAGGGGATCTCCTGTGATCTCCCGTGGGCTTAAAGGACAACTTGGAATACATTCATTTTGGCTGGGGTGTACATGACCAGTGGAATACATCCAGTTGACAACAACACTTGACCACTTGGGAAGATGGCTCGTTCATCACCAACGTTGGATCCTTCACCACGTCAACTTCCCCCCGTGGGGCTCGGTCGGTGATCCTCCGCGCCTCCGCCCGGGGGCGTTAACACACATACTGATAGTCATCAAGTTAAAACACTAAAGGATAACATACTATCCACCTACAACATCAATTAAATGATCTATACATCTCTCTCTCTCTCTCTCTCGCATAGTTATAATATGCATGAAGGGCCCTGCACTGGGCCCGCCCCCGGGCCGCCCCACATAGTCCATGCGAGCTCCACGATCCCGCTCCAACCTCCGTCGCCCGGTCCGCAGGAAACGTGACCAAACGCAGGACAGCGGGACCAGTGCGGAAAAGGTCTTGTATAGTAGTTGGTGCATATGATTTCATTTTTTCGCATAGGTTCTTTATCATTAATGCGGCCATTTTAAACCATCTGCATTGCTGAAAAACAGGTGTTGAAGAAATAATTTGCCACACTACAATAGCCGGTCGAGGGTTTGTTGCAGCCAGAGCGCATCTTGCTGACGAAGGTGGTTGAAGTCACATGAAATCGCCACCGATGAACCAACTGCTAGGAGGTAAACAGTGAGGCACACATTCCAGGTGTGCATTTGATGATCAGTGAGGCTGTTGCGATGGTAGGAGGAAGTCACGAAGAAGTCTACAGGAATCCACTCGCCTCGAAAGAATCCACTCGGCTTGATCATGCCGAACAAGGACGGCAACGATAGTCCGATAGACATCGAAATGAATGTAGCGTCCACTTTGGTGAAGTGCCAAGATCAGAATCAAATCCCGAGTTGGTTGGCCAACTGGGTGGCTTCAAGAAGGGTAGGGCGAAACACGATGGACGCTCAAGCAAATGCGGCAAGTGTCAGAAGATCCCCCGTGGGTGCGCCCGTTTGCTTCGATGACAAAAATCTGCTTGGTGTTCAATACGTGGCGATAAAACCGACCGACTTGAAATGGCAAACATGGAATAGAGCGTCCGAAAATATGCCAGATAGAATGCCATAATATAATGTTGAAGAAATATCTAGCCGTCGGCTATCAGCAAAGTAAAATGCCACGGTGGGGATCACTCGAAGTACATGTTTAACATCAGCCTTCGAGATTCCCAACTTTGAAACTGCTGTGGTTGGCCCGACTAGAAAAAGGTTGAACCATCATGAAATGTCCATGTTCCTTCCAAAACCGCCACCGAGCCGACGGTCGGTCACCGGGGTCGCCGCTCATCACAAAAGGCCTTGTCCTTGGCCGCCTGTGGACGCCAGGAGAAACCGACAAGTGTCTTTTTGGTGCCCGCAGGGAAACCTCCCGGGTGACGTAGACCGACTGAAAGCGTCAAAGACCTGATCGATGATCCAATGGAGATCCAATGGAACAAGCATCTACAACAACCTCGGGAGTCTAAAGACCTCGGTCCGTTTCGAAGGGCGGACTGGGATATAGGGCGATCTTGCTATGCTTCTTATGTGGTCTTTGCCTATCAAGGCATAGGCTCGCACAACTACAGCCCTTTTTGAGCCAAACCAAAACACTGGTCGAATTCTCCAGTTTTCGGTGTGTCTCGCCTGTTGGATGACCTCGTCTTCGTCGTCGGAGCGTCTGAACATGCAGAACCAGATGAAGCCTGGCAAGACGGCCGAGACAGAATCTCCAAACGACGAGTGGCCGAATATCGCGAGAATCGAAAGAAAATGAAGGAAGCCTGCATATCATTGTGGACCAAATTGTATATATAATTACTATAGAGATATACAATGAATCAATACTGCAACCGAATACTTCCGCAGAAAGGAAGATCGACCCAAGGCAGGATCAAGACCCAGTTGTCACAATAGCGTGGTTCCATGTGTTCACGCAACCCGAAAAAGATTCGGACACAATGTGTTGACTTGAAACATCCTAAAACCATATTTGCATACACTTGCAACAATCCTCCAAAAACTCCAAACAAGCTATATTCAGGTGAACCATGGCTCTGCAGCCTGTGATGATCATGCAGAAGTCGATGATACAAGCTGCGAAGAACGTCCAGCCGAACCTTGAGAGGGACTGAAGGACCTAACAAGTGCAATCACTCTGACTCTCAGGATGAAGATCAACAACACATAAGGGTTATCCTGGATATAGTTGTATGAATCATGGAATAATGGACTTCTATGCCCCCAAAAAGGGTTGGGTACCTGAAAACCTTTACAGTGAAGGCCCAAGGGCCACATCCACTTTTTGCTGGGAACAGTGCACACAAGCTAAATAAGTTAAACAAGAAGAATCGATGCGACTCAGGGCCGCTACTGTACCTTATTGTCTTGCGCATGTTGCACGGAAAACAGCAAGCCACATGCGCGCCGCTCGTCCCAGTCCCGTTGGCTGGTACCAAATGGTACTACAACGTTGCATCAAACTCAAAGCGCTCCCTTTGTAGAGGTTCATAGTGCTTCAAACCTATGGGGGACCCCCGACCGATGAAATCACACCAATAGATTTCCCCAAACAAAGGACGTGTCATCGGTCGGCTCAAACAGGCTAAACACTTGGGCGGCGCTGCGGACCTGTTCACATCACATCAAAGCCCAAAGTCGGTTTGTTGACTTTTTACTTATCACTTCAACTTTCTGAGCATTGAACATTGAAGATGTACTTGGGGGTTTCACCAGAGGGTCTGGAGTCTGGATGCCACATGGATCAAATCCAACGAACCGCTTGGGGTTTGCCGCTTCGCGTTCTTCGCTTCGGCGCTCCAACTGCCCAGTTGCTGGAAGTCACGGGTTTCCGTGTACCTCGACGGGTGAAAACTGCTGTAACCGCCTGCTGTTCAAAGGAAACACCTCTCTTAGACCGCCTGCAAACTAACTGAGAGCTACAGTATTAACAGTAGTAGTCATCAGTTGAGTCTATTCCATTACCAGTAACAGTGGATGATAATGGTCCGTAAAGGCCTTTCTCAAGAATAGTGACATTTACCGACTGTTAAAAGTATTGGGACAGACCCAAGCTATCAGTAGTATAAACGAACATGAGTAAACAGGCAATCTCAGTCACACATCTTCTACATCACTGATCTACGCTCTTCGGACATATGGGCCACCTGAGCTCCAAACCCAAAGGCGTCTGATAATCCAAAGCCCATGGCCTCACCAAAATCAGTTCAGGTGCCAGGACGATATATCATGCTGCACATGCGGTACAGTCCCTATGGATCCACTGCCACCATCTGAGAAAGTGATTGGAGAAACTCTTTTACAGGCACGAAGGGTCCAAGTAACTACCTTCTCAGGTATGTGGATCCCTATAGGGAGTATTCATCTGCATGTGAATATGTCCTTCTGCCGGCTCAGCTTCTGCATGAGCAGATCAAAGCCTGAACCGTAACTCAGATTCCTATAATATACCTAGCTTGGACGACTTATATGTCTTTCTCACTGCGTTGATTCAGAACATGGTACGCAGCACTGGTGTCAGCCAAACGCGCGCTGCTAACCGTCGCTGGGTGCCGCTGCCAGGGTGGACCAGGACTCAGTAGTCGGATGAAGTGAACCCAAGCAGTGGGTCAGCAGGGTCAATGGGAAGGATCCAGCATGCTTGGAGTTGTTGATACACAGTGATCAATATGTTTGAACCCTAAACCCTACTGTCAGTGGTGTCAAAAGTCTGGCCTTGCTGCAGGAGGAACATACCAGCTTTGGCTCTTAATCATTAGATTGATGAACATTCATACCAGCTTGGGTGTGGCTCAAAGGGTGGGCAAATGAAACATGGCACAAACTGAACATATTAAACAACAAATAACAACAATCTATACTGGGTCTTAAATTCCGGGACCCCATATTGTATCATATTTTATTAACTCGATCTGTATCTGGGACACGCACTCGTAGCGACAAACTACATGCGTACCGCACGAAAGACACCTCCAAAAAGTCTCCACTTGCAATCCTTGCGTCAGGCAAACACCCCCGGAGGGCTAGCCGCCTACTCGTACCCAACTCATCGTAACAGCAAGTGATTCATAGCCGGCCAGTACACGGTCCGAAATGTGGTTGGGACTACAGGCTCCGGGTACTGTCCAGGGAACAGCATGGCAATTCTATACCATGCGCGATATTGATGCATTCTTAGACCCAAACCAACCCTATGTCAGCATCTTCACCATCGAACACCGCCGTCCTCCCGGTCCCCGGTCCGTCCCCGGTCCCCATCCGAGACACGCGTGGGATCTCCCCGAGGTCCGGCATCATCACTGCCCAGGTGACGATGCCACCGGTCCTCGAGTTGGGTCCGACGGAGACCGGAAGGGCGGTCTCACACCTAACCTGTATGAGCGATGACCTGGAATGGAGAGAGGAAACGACCAGAGAGACTGGGAGGTGGGAATTGCGAAACAAAGTAGAACTATATGGCGAAACATCGGTAGAGACTGCAGAGACTTTCTTTGATTGTTATTTTTTGAAACAAACATCGAAAGAACTGGGACCGAACGGGAACCATTGGACAGGCCGATGCCACCATATACTGAACTTGGATGTTCATTGGGACTTATCCCTTCTAATGATTGTACAAGCAATAGTAGAATAGTAGAAGGCCATCAATGGTTGGACACATATAGGAAGTGTCCGTTGAAAGAAGGGGATTAGAAAGACTAAGCCACTAAGCTTGTCTGAGAAATTACTCATTGGCAGCTCGGCAAGGCTCATCTACTTGTTCCTCTATTGTTCAAGCACACTTGTACGCGCACAAGCACAAGTTTGGTCAATCTTCAAGTAAAGAATACGTCTTCAATGAACTCCCATGGACCCCTTTTTGGGAACGAATCTTGCCAATTGGCCCTGCTGCCCTGCTCTTTTAACAAATCGTCCCTACTATCGTCCCTATATGGCACCATCAGCACTGAATCCTCAGCTACTACTTGCTCCACCACCCAGCGTTGCTCACTGGGCTCCCTCGCGCCAGCACGGGCGTGGCTAACGTGAAGGCATTGGCCCATTGTCGCAGGGCAGGGTCAGCGACAGATTTGGAGTACGTGAACCTCAAAATGCGAAGAAAGCCGATGTTTGGTGATTCTAAAAGGACTCAGAAGAGGATCCTAAAGGACCAGAATACTAGAACATGTTAGAATGATATGATAAATATAACCATATATATATATATAAGCTAGCCCAGCTAGATGGGATAGCCCTAGGCTAGCTATATATATATATATAGAGAGAGATTAGAAGGACTTGAACTCTCACCACATCTGTTCCCACTGCATCGTTCCGGTGCATCTCACCGTGAACCGGGGCCGGTGAAGGTTCACCCGGGCGCCCCGACAGGCAAAAAGCGGCTGAGAAGCTGGACAGGACGCTGAGGGCAATGCAAATGAAGAGCGGGATACTGGCGCAGGAGGCACTGGGCATTGTGACTTGTTCATCATCGTCTCCAGTTGGCAGTTTTTCGTTAGTTGTCACTTCGGATCCAGAACCGATACTACACTTGATCGATCTTCGGATCCAGAAAAATCGCAAACACATCCAACACAGCGCCACTGTCGGAGGATCGGTCCCGTCCGAGATCGCACTCGACCACTCCACCGCGCACCGGTTCACCGGTTCCGTCCGGCACGGCCGTCACCTCACATTTGTCGGACTAGACTTCACCAAGCTCTATAGGATTCCATGCGACTGATAGAATCCCATATTTGAAGCCAGTCCGTCCATGTGGTTGAAGTTGTGGAGGACACAGATTAACATTGGCAATCATTGGCGTGTGTGAAGGCTTGACCGCTGCATGATGAGGCTACAAGTGCTCAACCAGGTAGCAAATCAAGCAACGTAACATACCCTGGACAAACAGGGTGACATGTTGCCAGGTATGATCTTTTCTTCTCAAGATCAACACCCAACTCAATGTGCTCTGCAAGGTTCGCCCCTCGCGCTTGGAATTGTGGTCTAGGAGATTCGGACGAAACTCATAGGATGGTCCAGTTCTTGACCCGAAATAGGGAATGTCAGAGATTTTACTGATTCCTCGCCAAACATTGGGACAACCACCCTCTAAGCACAAGGACGCGTGTTTAAGTCCATCACCAATCTCCAATGAAACCCATGGGGAGGGCTGTCTCAAAGACGCACGAGCACGCACTCTCCAACGAAACCCACCTGGCATAGTAGCAACGCCCGAGCACTTCGCAGGCGGAAGGCACCAAAGCGCAGGCATTGCCCTGAGAAGGCACAGATCCATGTGGTGCAAAGCTGACCCGGTCATCCTAAGAGATCAACGATGGACCAAGCTGTCTGTTTGGTGCAGTATGACACTGATCCTTGAGGAATTACTAAGTCTTTACCCAGACCGCGAACCGTTCACAGTCCTGGGTCCCTCAAAACCTATGCGATTGATTGGTTCTACCCCGGACCCCACATATATATATATATATATGAGGACGATCCATATGAGGATCCCGCACCAGTGCTGTGATATGTTTCTCGGGAGGCGGGCTTTCCAACCAAGCGCCAGTGCTCTAAAAGGGCATGGCTTCAAGACCGAGCACTGCGACACACACCCCAAGTGGGACACCTGCACACGCTGCAGGTCGTGGGTTCCCTCGAAAGGCTTCAAGACCTGGCGTGGCTCAATGGGGCCCATGGGAAGTCAAGAAGCTCCTGTTTGTTTAAGCCTTGGTCTTTCAGGCAACCTCATGTTAGCTTCCATGAATGGAGGGAGAGTGCAGTAATTCAAATGGTGTAGGATATGTTGGATTCACTTTGGCGCACACCCCAAATCAGGGTCCGGATGTGTTCTGGGTCCAAGACCAGAAGTCTTGGACAATCCATTCTCAGTGTCGATCGACGTTTCTTTCGGCCCCTCTTTTTACACTGCGCACGTCCTCAGCTTAAGCTAGCTAGCAAAACATTGAGGTGTCCTGGTATCTGTCTTGCAAACAGTTTTTACCGCAACCTGCGCTCAATAGGTCTCAATAGGCTGTCTCGAAATGTGTCTACAGTCTGAAAGGGGATGGGTTGACCCATAAGCGATGGATTAGCCAAAGAAGTTCATGTATGTTCAATTGACTGTGTGGCCAAGCAAAACAAATCTGTGTATATATATATAACTCTCTCTCTCTCTTTTAACATGCAAAGTTAACATGTGTATATATATATATAGAGTACAACATATATTGTGTATAATTGATATGTATATATATATATACTGTAGTTATCTGTAGTTACAATATCGCCCTAGCTGCCTGTATGGTGAATCTAGTCCTCAATGGCTCAAGAGTCTCACACCTAAGATTTGGTGACTTGCTTTTGAGGCCAAACGTGAAGAGCACACCACCTCATCAAGGCCTTGGAAAGCACATCCACTCATCAACATCGGCTCGACAGGCTCGACGTTTTGTTGCGCCCAAGAAATTGAACAGCAGGCCGACCTTCTTGCACAAGCCCTCTTCAAGCATGAAGGACTTGTCGCAGGAGATGTCAATCTGAACAAAGCATCAGGCTCAGCTGAAGCAACTAGCCACTGCACCCTTGCACTTGGCCAGGTTCCAAATCCCAACATCCTCTTACATTCTTGTCCAGTGCATGTCTTCCAACTGCACAAGCACCCTTGGCCTGTGAATCTCAACCACTCTGCCAGCCTTCATGGAGAAAAGCGAACTGTGCATTGTCACCAATCCAACACCTGAGTCGCTAAGACCGAGCATGGACGAGCTGGCTAGGGGTACCTGTGCCTGCTAGGGGTACCTGTCCCAACTTTTAAAGTAAGAGCCACAAGCTGTAGGCCAAACACATACACTGGCATGGCTGCCTGAGGACTCGTTCTGGTGCGCGGCTGCACATTAGGATCAATACCAATCAATGCTGATCTGTGCTCTGAAGCCAGCTCAAAGCATCATCTAGTACGCGATCTTACCCAAATACATACAGAGTGACACCTTACTTTATATATACAAACATCCTGAGCATGAAACTGTGCTGTGGGCCCCAGATGTGTGCTGAAGACTGGCTAGAGTAACTTTCGGTCGCACCAATTACAGGTTCCATCTCGATGAAAGACTACCTGAAGTGAATAGAATACCTTAACATTCACACCCTGACGATTCTCCTCCTAGTTCCAAATCTACGGATTCATATTTTAATTTGAAACGCAAACAATGAGTTCTATCATTGTTGGCACTCTAGTCACTAGTCGCTAGAGGAGAACCATGAATTTCTTGCGGAGAGTCTAAGATTTCTGCCTGTGAAATTTGTGTGTCCAAATCTATCCCGCGATTAATTCTGCCGGAGGTGGCTGTGGAGGCCTGGAATCAACAGAAAACCATGGGATTCTAATCCATAAAGGCATCCCAAACAAAGCTTTCACCTGAAAGTCATTGAAAACAAACAAAAAACTACCGCAGGGCAAACACAGGAATTTCCGCCCGGAGCCATTCAGGCAGAACATGTTCCCAATTCCATTCTTTTCGGTTGCCGTGTTTTTCGTCCGAGATTTAGCAAAAACTTGTTTCGTGGTGTTTTTTTGCCGGCCGTGTTTTTTCACCCGATTTGTGTGCTTGTTTTGCCCGGATTGGTTGTGGAATTGGTGATTCTGGACACAAGGTCGGTTTTTGTTCAGGTTCGAGCAGAACTTTCCCGGTTTTGAACGTGGTGAGGTTTGTCCAATATTTCATTAACTGCCTCAGTCTCCCGGACTCTCCACCAGGCCGGGCATCCCCACCGAGGCCGGTGAACTCCTTGCTCCCTGCAGGGGTGACCGCTCCGGTCACCGGGATCCCCGATCACCGGAGGAGGAGGGGAACGTCACGTGCTGTTCACCCACTTTCATCCAAGGTGTTTTCAGGAGTATAGGAAGAGGACGATGTTTTTTTCGACCAACAGTGATTTGGATGTGTTTTTGATCCACCTGCTAGCGTAGTGAAGACAGGAAAGGTCTTTCTACTGTATAGAGGTATGAACGCACAAATTCATTGCTCCAGAAGATGTTTCCTAGTTCGTCGTCTCTTCCGAACAACAGTTGGGAGACGTGAAATGGTAGACATGGAATGTCCCAGCTTTTCTTCTACAAGCACCAACGTTGGTGGAAAAGACAGCAATTCTGGGGCAACCGGCAAAGCTAGTGGTTCCGGGGGCTCTCCTTCTCAAACAACTCACCTTTTGTTCAGGAATGCATCAGGTTCGACAACTTAGCCTCATCATATAATGCAGTTCAACCCGTGAACCACTGAATGGATCTTGGCCAAGATCGGTTGCAAGGTCTTTATGGACGGCATATTGGCGTGGTCTTTTACCAACCTTAGAACCTAGCAAGCGGCTCAAACAACAAAGGAACAAACCTTCTTCAACTTTGACGGAGAAACATGTTTGCAGAAACTGAAAGGGATCATCCTGTGAAGTGAAGGGGACGTGAGGCATGGCGAGGCAGGAAGGCCAGCAAGACCATGAGCTGAGTTGCGAATTCTAAAGAAGACCGTCAAGGGCCAGACGGTCAGATCCTCCTATATATATATATATAACTCTAACTAATGACTCTAACTATCCTCCTATAAGAAAGGGATCCTCCTAATATTCTTCTAACTCTTCCAAAACCTTTCGTTCCGGCTTTGACCCCCCGGAGTTCCTGGAGAAAAAACCTCCACATCTGAGTCCTCCCACCCCAGGACGACCCGACGATCGTCAAGCCCTTGGCACAAAGGAGCAGCAGGGTGTGTGAACTCTGGAGGTTCTTTTGGGTTTGTGGCATAAAGTCTCTATGTTGGATTTTATTTGTGTACCATGTAAGAACTGCAAATTGTATTCTAACATCTCCAATCATATTTATGATACTTTATAGCTTTGCCGTAGTACATGTCTTTACAAGTGTTCTTTTGAAGGCATACTCTTATACTGGCGTTGCCTCTGTGGTGATTCGCTGTTAGAGTCACGTGACTATGACAAGCCAGATCGAAAACTGGTCTTGGGTGCGTCTGTATGTCTGTGGACTGCAAGTGAGGAATACACACTTTGAACGCCATACCTAGGGCTCTACGACCCTGCTGGTGTTTAGCCGGAAGCAAAGGTCATGAGCATCCCAAATCCTGCTCATCCCAATCTCACGCTCACTATAATTCACTACCTGTATCAGCCGCCATTGGGTGCACTGCCAATTTATGCGTCAGGTTTGATATCCCAAGGAATCCCAAAAAAGGAGGACCAGCACGGTTCCGGTCAACCGATCCAATTATCGCGGTGTTTTGCGCTAGAAAGAGATGTCCGCTGCAAGCGACGTGCGGCAAACTTTGAGAATCGGAATGAAGGAGAAGCCCACAACCAAAAGAACTTGTAGCAACACCCCCCCAACATGCTTCCCGCATCGCCCCCCAACGTGCGTATGCCAGCGAGGGTCCATGAGAGTTCCAAGCCCAAGGAAGCCGATGGACATGAAGATCAAGAAGCAAGAAGCATCCTTCGCCTGCTGCTCCCTGAAGATGGAAGAAAGGGCTCACTCTTGTGTGTCGTGTGTCGAGTCACTTGCTTGGTTTTTCCTTGGTGAACTCTGGAGAAACGCCTGGTGGAGTGGTGCGACTGCGACTGAGACAAATTGGGTTCTTGGTCCTGTTCTGTGACCCATTCAAGGGCGTCGGCTTCTACTCTGAGGGCCGTGCTTTTGCTTCTCACGGAGCTTTTCACATCGCTTGCCTGGGCAGGGTGGGGAACTTGATTTGCAACAGCTTGCGGTCTAGTCTGGAGAACTCCAAATGATAGACGGAATGAACTGAATCGATTGATGCACTATGAGAAACACTTGTCACTGTGTTACTTGACATGTTTTCTGGTGTATGGCGAAAGGCTACAAGAATGTCACATGCTCAAACGCAGCAAAATGAATTTATCAGCTTTAGCTGAGAGGCAATTGGGGCAGCTTTGCCCATGAGAAATGGAGTCCCCCAATTATAAGTGTGAAAGGTGATGTGCACAGCCCTTAGGGTGCACGCGTCATGCAACAAGAGGTAGTCTGGAAGTGACAATACTCGGTGGTATGGGTGGGCAGAAGTTCACGAACCGCAGGTTATGAGCCCAATGCCGAGATTGGTTGGAGCATGTGGCATGCCTTGGGCGACATGGAGCATGTGACAAGCTGTGGGCGGCACACGACGTGTGACAAGCAGATGGGCGGTGCTCAATGAGTGGGTGCATGGCAGCTACTGCGGCGTGCGGGGTGTGGCAAGCTACGGCGGCATGCAGGATGTGGCAGCTATGGCGGCATGCTGGGGCTGGGTGCCTAACAGCCGGTGCCTTGGCTCATGCCCGGCGACCCAGCAACAAAGACGCGAGGTTGGAAGTTGTGCCATCAATATTCATACATGCAACCTGCAGCATGGTGTGGTCTGCAGGTTGGGGGGGGAGTGTGAAGGGTGATGTGCACAGCCCTTAGGGTGCACGCGTCATGCCACAAGAGGTAGTCTCAAAAGTGACTATGCTCGGTGGTATGGGTGGGCAAAGGTTCACGAACCGCAATCAGAATTCCCTGATCGCAGGAAGGCACGCCAACGGCTGCTGTTTGCTGCATCGACCACTTCAAGTTCCAGCCCGGGCGCCCGGTCTCTAGACTTCGACCCGGCGACGGATCCAAGTCTAGAGACGCGTGGACTCGTGTGAAAACTCACAGGGATCAGTAGTGAGAAACAAGAGGAAGTAACAAGAAACATCGCTGAGACGTCTACCCAAAGGATCCAGAACCATGCTGAGAACATACTTTGGCTCCAAAGAACCTCTTCACACACAGTCTCTTCCAGCTGAGCCTGGCTCAGCCTGGGTTCCCGCACTGGCTTCCTCCAGCTTCTTGGCCTTTCGTGCCATTCTGGCTTCTTGTTTTTGCTCTTTCGACATCTGCGGCGCTGAGAGATCTGAGGGCGACGACTGGTGGACGACCGGTCCAAGAAAGAAGGAAACACCTTCTGGGAAGTTGGATGAGTTGGATGGAGCAAAGTGCAGCAAAGCGGAATGGTTGGACAAAAAATGCGGGGTTACAATGATTTATGATTTATCATGGCTTCTCCTGAAAATTCCAGATCAACAAACAAAAAGCTAGGTTTGCCTTGGATCCCAAAGTCATGGTTTCGATGCTGGCGACGCTTCGGCATCACTTCGGCCGGGAAAGGGGGACTAGACGATCTGATGCACTCACAAAGCCACGTTCTCACTGCCACCTTCTTAGGTTCGGTACGACTGGACCCGACAATGGCGCCGATGTAAAAGTATCGAACACAGAAAACTGTACCGAAAAAAGGGTGGCAGTGGATCCATCCGACCTAGGGCATCCCAACAAACTAGTGTTGGTAAACAGGATCACAACTTTTGATAATTGATTGCAAGGAACCATCCGGCCCTGGTAATGTATGGCAATGAGATATACCTAAGACATACCTAGATCTTCCACCTGTGCAACATGTCCTGTCTTTGACACACGTTCGAGAACATTTGAGAACTCCCATTGATTCATGGGTCAATGGGAACACGGAACACATTTACTCTGGTTACAAGAGCATACTTGGCTTTGTTCCCTTGTGTTTGAAGCGAGGCACCAGTCAAATACCAAGCTGCCGAACGTTTACCCGTCCAATCATCTCCCTCCGCTCACCTGGATGCCGGGAGGTGCTGCTGCATAGCCAGCCTGAGCGGTCGCAACAGGTGCCACAGATGCGACAGGCAAAAAAGTTTTGGGATCAAAGGCAGTAGATGGGCAATCTAAGGGGGTTACGGTTACGGCAGTATATATATATATATAGTGGCAGAACACATGGTGGCAGGGTACACGAATCACGCTCCGTTGCTCTTTATCTAGACTATACAATATGAATACATGATATGCGACAACTCGGCTTGTATCCTGCGAGTATCGATTAAATGCCGATCGCCAACCCACCAGTCTAGTACCTTCTCAGGGTCCATCCGTGGTGTGCATTGGGAGATATTGGACACACACTTGAGAAGGTTGCTCCGTGGAGCGCGATTTCAGGCTGCTTC